TTTTTTTTTTTTTTTTTTTTTTTTTTTTTTTTTTTTTTTTTTTTTTTTTTAATGAAAATGAAGTGTATTAATAATTTTTTTAAAAATGTAGTGTGGATTATAATAACAACTTTTTTTAAAATATAAACATTAAAATGGAGTGGAGATGTAAGACCCTATTTTAATAAATACGTGTATATATATATATATATATAATATATATATATATTTTTTAAATATCTAACCGTCTTTGAAAAAAACAACTAATAAACAATTTCAATTAGTGCATGTATGTGCATGTGGATAAAATATTATTAATTTCTTTTTTTTTAATAATATTTATATAATTATAATTTTCTTTTTACCTCCACAGAAGCCGCTCCTACCTAAATTCAATATATATATATATATATATATATATATATATATATATATATATATAATAAATAAATAAATAAATAAAAACCCTTTTAATTCTTTATTTTTTAAAAAAAGTAATTATAAATAAACTTCTTTTATTTTATTTATAAAGAGTATTGTCGTATTGTTAATCATTTTTCAACCAATATTCCATACAACTCTATCGATTCAATTTTTAAAAAATTAATAATTTGGTTCAATTTACGGAATTGGTATTTGTCTTCGTCCCGTCAACTTATTTTTTAAAAAATTAAGAATATTTGACATCTATTACCAACGTTAATGACACATTTTGACTTTGAAATATCGTAGATGAGTAAAAAAAAATTAGTTAAAAAGACAGAACAACCCGACGTTATCGAAAATAGAGGATTGGATTAGGCTATGAACTTTAGTCGAATTACTCGAATCACCGACCCAACCTAATCCATGTGCACCCCTAATAATGAATTAAATTCCGATTAAATCAATAGTTTATTGTTTTTTAATATTTTAAAAAGACTTATTTTTTTATAAAAAAAATAAATCCATAAACTACTTATATTTATTAATTATTAATAGGTGAGAAACCATGTCATGTTTGTCAAATATGAGTTAATGCAGCTCAATTAAAAAATAATTAATTAAATGTATAATTAATTTAGTAATATTTATTTATTTATGTATAATAATCTCTAATCTAATTAATTTAAAAGTATAATTAATGGAGAAAAAATTAATTAAATCTAAGATTTGTCAGAATACCCTAATCAGCGGAACATTAATTTAAAATTCATACGGATCTACAACATTGATTCTTTCAACCCCAAATCTTTTATTTTACGTCCTAATTTCTTACTATTTTATTCGACATTTTTATCTTAATATCGACATTCATTTTTTTAAAATAATAATACAACGTACTAATTGAACTATCTGACGACAACTCGACATAAAAATGTATGGTAACATGACACGAGGGAGGAGATTGGGTCGGTACAATAAGGGAGAATGGGCAAAAAAACCCGAGTTCGGATATATTTTTTTCTACATACTCCGAGTCTCTACTAACCTATACGGAATATAACTCTTAAAAGAAAACTTCATCTCTAGTATAAATGTCGAATTTAAAATATTACATTTTTTGCAAAATAGAGTCTTACGTGTTTAAATATGAAATACTGAAATTTAGAGAAAATAAAAATAAATACAAAATAGTTTAAAATTGATGAAATGTAAAACAACGTATTCTAACCTAAGACTGGGAATTTAAACATGAGTCTACCCTATGCACGTGTCACAGTCTTTGCTCACGATGTCGCCGTCCTCCGTATATATGCACATTGCTTTACCTGAAAAATGATGTGATACACGACCTGAGTATTTCGAAGAATAGGTGGCCCCACTATAGGGTCATGCAAATGCAAACACATGCAATCATGCTCTTGAGACCTATCTCTGTTCCATAGGGGTGACCTCCAATCTCGGACTTATATGGATGCGGAGTACTTCCCTACATACATGCAAGTATGAATCTCCAGGGGGCTCGCACACCCCCTAGATCCTCTTGGTCAAGCTAATATGTAACCACGTTTGGAGGTCAGTGGAACCCCTTGGTGTCATGCTCCCAATGAACACCCTCATCATCATACTGTGCTCGTCCGCACTCATCGTGAGGTCCCACTAATTTCTATCTTATCATCTCTTCTGACACAACCGTCTAGTCTCATCTCTTTACTACGTTAAATAATACATGTTCGTTGGATATTTATATTAACATCATTTTCATGCTCTTAGACTTGTGTCCTATGTCGGTCTATCGATATGATGTAATATGACACTCATCATCATATAGCACGCTTAATATGAAAAATATAAACATATTAAGACAAACGTCGTGCAATCATTATACTCGTCATATTGCCATAAAGCGCATCAAGCATATAAAGTACGTCATTCATCAAAATATATATATTACGCACATCATCAAGCATCATAGCTCATACATCATCATAAACTCATACATTTTCATATACTCATACATCATCATATGCTAGTACACAGCATCCTACGATACAATTCGTACATCATAAATTATAATGCATTCAATTTCTAGTCCATCCTATAGTAAGGTCACTTACTTAGTTGGTTTTAGTCGAAGTTCTCCCTAGTTATCCTAAACATAACCTCTCATTCCTAAAGAGCTACTCCAAAGGTCATCGGTTTGTTTTCTATCACACCGTTCAGTATCTTTTGTTAGTATTTCACAATTCAATTAATAATGTGAAATACAGCCCCAAAATGACCTCAATTATCTTAATCGGGGTCGAAAACAAGTCCGAGCGGATCGAAACAGTGGAAACCAGGCCAAAATTGGAGAAGTTGAGGAGCCGCAGGTGGAAGGTGCGAGCCGTTTAAGCCGATCCGGACCGAGGGATTTCCTGTCTCGTTGGTACCACGTGGCAGTATCAGAGAGCGACACGTCGTGCAGGTGGCGTCGAGTCGAGGCGCAGGTTGAAATCTGGTTCGGGTCACGTCTGCAGGCCGGCTTTTGGGCTTCAATTCACGGGTTGGGCCGCAGGTGAGTTTGGGTCGTGTGTTAGCAGGCTAGACCGTGGGCCTCAGTTGTAGGCTGGACTTGGTTTTGGGTTCTCGAGTCGCAGAGGCGTTGGGCTGGGCTTCCAGCGTGGGCTACCGCAGGTTGGGCTGGCCGAGGCACGCGTTGCCTGCGGTGATGGACTGGGCTGACGTCCTTCCGACAACTAATTTTTTTTACATTTATTTTTGTATTAAAAAATGTTATATTTAAATTTTTAAAAAAAATTATGAGTAAACTATACTAAAATTGATTTTTTTAATCTCTCTAATTTTGTTTTAATAAATTTTAAAAAACGTCTAATAAATCAATATCATTGTTATAATAATTGAAATTTTTAAAAATTTATTAGATAAAAAATACCGTTTTTAAAAATAAAATGTTGCATCAATTTTCTTTTTCTTTTTTTTTTTGTTAGTAATTAAAATATATTTTTTACCGTTATATTTTAGAATAGGTTTAATTTTAGTTAATGTATTTTTAATAAATCTTAATTTTAAATTTAAGATTTATTAAAATTACAAAAATAAATTGAAGTCTCAGACAAAATAGTATCAATATCAACCAAAATTGGATTAGAGCTTTTAAATTGAGATTTTTTTTTTTTTAATTTGCCGAAAAAAAGATGCCAAAATGTTGACTCAGTCAAGGTGGCCAAAAATACTTTCTTATGCAGCTCTCCATTACTCTTAATAAAATAAAATAAGATATATTTTATGTCGGATATTTGTTTTTGACTTTTCAAGAAAATCTTAGATCTGAAAAAGATTAATCGAGGACCTATCCAAACTCTCGGATCTTGGTGTAACATCGGCCAGTCCTTTTTTGGTGTATAGGAAGAAACTTCCCGACCACTTCTCTATCTCCTCACACTTTTCTCTACGACCCCAACTGGCTGGGAGAACAAAATGACATTTTTGTCTTTTTTTTTTTTTTTTGAAGCGTTACATAAAGGGAGATTGCAATAGGCTGAGCAAGAGATGCCAAAACGCTGACTCAGAAAAGGTGCCCAACTACACTCTCTCTCTTACTTCATCATCAATAAAAATTCTCTCTCTAAATTATTCCATCGTAAAATTAAGACATTTACCCATGAATTGGGAATAAGAAATTGGAACTATTTGGGTCAACTACACTGTAATGATTTTACTTTTTCACTATACGACCGTTATTACAGTCGTATATTACGTGCATATCATCACATTCCAATCTAATTCACGTGAAAAAATTAATATCATAAATAAATTTTAACGAAGCAAAAAAATTAAAATATTGAACATATTTTCTTATCAATAAAAAACATAAATAAATACGAAATTATATTAAAGAACTTCGATGATCTGACAGTCATTCCTTGCTTTTACTTAAAAAAAACTGCGGATGGTAGAATGATTATTTAAAAATACTAAATAATTGACCTCACCTTCTAACATGCAGACCAATGGGACCTAAATTCATATCTTTACTTTGAGCTGTAACTTTATTTCAGAGTGAATTTGGATGACAGTGTTTCTCTACGATCTATGCACGGGGATCTATCTTGCTTTTCATCAAAATTTGAATAAATTTAGATTAAAAAAAAGGTGGTTAAAAAAAAAAAAAAAAAACTAATAATTCAATGGCCGATTAAAAATGTGAAATAACTCTAAAATTTTTATCTTAAAACCACTAAATTAAAATTTAATTTAGGTTTTTTCTTTTTCCTTTCAAATTGAATGTGGGCGGTATTGACCAAGAGTAGCTTGGGCAAGTCATCTTGGCTGGTATATCTAAAACCACTCAATTTAAATTTAATTTAGCTGTTTTTTTTTCCTTTCAAATTACAGTGGGCGATGAACCCCTAATACAATTGATAAAAATCATATGAAAAGGGCTCGTCTTAACCCATTTTTTTATCTTGGGAGGTTTCCTTTATCTGATTCTCTGATTCACAATGGGATCAACTGCACAGCAGGTTTCCATCGACATGAATCAATTCTCTTCTATCCAGGGAGCCTCAGATGGCTTACCCAGGGAGCCTCAGGCTCGCAACAATCTTGGGAAGATAGTTTTTGGGCTTACTTTCCAGGCAGTGCTGGCTCTGTTCATCAGCAGACCCACCTCATTTCCTCCACTTTTCATAAATCTCTTTGCAGCGGCTATGTTCATTAGCTTGGCACTTTCACTTGCTGCGCTTTTTCTTCAAACTGCCTTCCCAAGAGTCGCGCTTTCGTTCGGCAAGATCGGTGCTATGCTAGCTGCTGTTGGTGCGTGCATCGTGGCTAGTCTTCTTCTGAAGCATCAGAATTTCAGTTGGATTCCTTGGCTGGCATGCGGCTTCGCCTTCATGGCCTTCGTTCTATCATTCAAGTGAACTTCACAAAACCTGGGTCTTTCCTGTGCAGCAGCCGTAGCCATCTCTTTGTTCCTTGAGGCAGGCTCTGGCAGTTGTGTAGTAAGGAGTCATTAGATCTACGAAATAAAGATGGCAGCATCAACAAAGATAGGTTCAGGAACCACATATAGCTGAAGTGGCTCTTCACCAGTTTTTACATTTTTAGCCTAAACAAGCTCAATCATAATGGGCATGCACTGTACTCTTTTTTTTGCAGTGGCTCTTCATACTTTCGTTTGTTTGTTATAATTTACAGATTATTAGACTATGTCTTCTTAAATTTAGATTCAATAAGAATATTTGTCTTATTAAATTTAGATTCAATAAGAATATTTGTCATTGCCCTCGTGTCGAACGAACCTGGCTCTGATACCAAAATTGTTGGAAAGAAGAATAGTGAAAGAGATAGGAATGGATAAGAATAGATGAAAGCTGTCGTGCTTTATTATTGTCTACTGACTCAATGCTTAGAGGGTTACACGATTCCAGTATTTATAACTTATACACTATACCAGAAGTAGTAAATCATGGAAATCCAGATAAATTCAAATCTACTAATAATCTTCTAAAATCTTGGTAGTTTGAATATTTGAATCGTATCTCAACTACTTTATCTTGAATACTTTGAATCATATCTCAACACTCCCCCTTGATTCAAAGTTGCAGATGTCAAGTACAGAACTTTTCTTTTGACAAGGTCTTCGTAAGTACGTCTTCCTTAACCCGTACAATGTCTGTCTCAGCCTGTATACCTTTGTTTCTTTGTCTTCCTCTATGAATCTCTCTGGCGGTGTTACATAAACCTTTTCTTGTAAATCTCCATAAAACTTTTCGTTTGGTAGGTCAACCATATCCCATGTTCCATCTTTCTTAACGAACTGCATCTCTACTGTCATGGCTTTCTTCCCATCTTCTTTTTCAGTTGCTTCTTCATAATTCATAGGGTCTGAAATAGTAAGAGCAAATTGACATGATGCATACATGTCAGTGAAAGATTTATACTTCTTTGGAGGTGTCTCATCCGAAAGTTCTTCAAGAGAAGAATTGCTGTTCAGTGATGCTGAAGATGATGAATTTGACACACTTTGTGTTGCAGTGGATGCACTGGGAGATGCACTGGAGTTAACCCTTGTCTCTTCATTTAGAGAAACTTCAACTGTAATCTTTTGCTGCTCCTGTTCTTTACTCCAATCCCAACTCACGTTTTCATTAAATATTACATCCCTTCTAACTAAAATCTTTTCACTAACGGGGTTGTATAGTTTATATGCCTTTGATTGAGTACAATAGCCAATAAAAATGCATTTTTCAGATTTTTCATCAAGCTTTTAACAAGTTTGAGGATGTTTCAAAGCATAAGCAACACAACCAAAAATTCGTAAATGACTTATAGATGGTTTCCTCCCATCCCATGCTTCATAAGGAGTAGTAAGAACTTATCTGGAACCTCTGGTCCTCCCATGAAGCTATAGATGTCGTTCACACACTAACAATCTATGAATACTCCTGAAGTACCTCGTCGCAGTGGTAATCTGTTAAGTTCCTAGGGAAAGGTTAGGTATAGTTAGAGTGATGTCGCTACTAACGGCAAATCCCAAGGCTCATCTTAGTAATGGGCCCATAGAAAATAACAGAGTATGCATGCAACCATTGTTTAACATCATAATATATAATTCATGTAAATTAGGCACGCCGGCTAAACAACTCATAACAATCAATCATAGAAGGCTACCACTTATGGCAAATAACTATCATGCATGCAGTCGAAGCGAATCCTACAAGTATTTCTTTTTAAACAACAGGTGGTGACTTACCTGGTTGATGCGTGTTCTTTCCTTAGCGTTTCTACGCCTGTCATGTGTCCAAAAATACTAAATTTTTTTTCAATTAGGTCCTATGCACATGAAAACAATATTAGAACTGGAATCTGGACAAAAATCGGACAAACAGAGGGCAAACGGGCCAAAACGGGCATCTCACGCACAACCACGCGCGAAGAAGGGCATTAGTCGCAGGTCACACGCGCGGAATGCTTTTGTGCAGTCGCGGGTCAGGCGTCCAGGTTGGGTCGGGTTTGTAGGCGACACGTGTCATCGTTTCAATGGAGCTGCATTTCTCCCGCTAACGATCGACGCGTGTCCGCCGCCTGCCGAGCCGCACTCCGCCAGCCGCCGGTCGACACATGGAGGCCGGAGAGTTCTCTCTCTCTCTCTGTTTTTTCCTGCAATCTGTAACACAGTCGTTTTTTCCATTCGTTGTTTTCCGATTTTCATATCTTTTGATTCGGAATTCAGACCGATATGGTTTCTTCGGCAAGGTTCTAAATCTTGTTCCAGGCTACGTCTTGGTTTTTTTTTTTTTCGTAATTTTTGTTTAACTACCAGAAGAGTAACGAGTGTCAAAAGTTTGGTTACCGTTCTCAGATTTCTGACTCCAATCCCGTTTTTCGGCCAAGTTACTTCACAGATTTGGAAGAACAACCCCCTATTTAAACATACGGTAAGGTTAGGTCTAGAATCGTTAAAGAGAATCTTAGATCTTAAGAAGATTAATCGAGAACCTACCTTGCGAACTCTCGGATCTTGGTGGAGCGTCGGCCTCGGGAGCCTATAAGTCCTTCTCTGGTGTATAGGTATCATCTGAAGGTGAATTCTGACGGTGGTCCAGCTAAACTTCGCGGCAGTAATAATTTTTCTTTTTCACGTGAAAAGTATTATCTTATCTATGAAAAAAACATAAATAAATGCAAAATTATATTAAAGAACTTCTGATCTTCAACTAGGCAGTCACTCTTTGCTTTTACCTTAAAAAAAACCTGCAGATCGTAGGATGATTATTTAAAAATACTCAATAATTGACCTCACAGTCTAAAATGCAGACTAATGGGACCTAAATTCATATCTTTACCTGCTCTAACCTCATTTCAGAGTGAGTTTGGATGATAGTACTTCTCTACGGTCCATGCACGTGGACCTATCCCGCTTTTCATCAAAATTTGAATAAATTTAGATTAAAAAAAGTGGTAAAAAAAAACCCTAATAATTCAATGGCTGATTAAAAATGTGAAATAACTCTAAATTTTTTATCCTAAAACCACTAAATTAAAATCTAATTTAGCTTTTTTTTTCCCTTTCAAATAGGAATGTCGGCGGTGTTGACCAAGAGTAGCTTGGGCAAGTGAGCTTGGACTGGCCAGCTCATCAACCTCTTCTCCAATTTGTCCAAACTTCCACAGTGTTTATAAATTCTACGACGCCCGCAAAGACTCGATCATAAACCATTTGAGATATTCAGAGATTTCCTTTCTCTGGTTCTCAATGGGATCAACACCACAGCATGTTTCCATCGACATGAATCAATTCTGTCCCATCCAGGGAGCCTCAGATGGCTTACCACCTACCACCGCCATGCCCAGGCCGCCTCCGCCACCCGACAGCTCTCAGACTCGCAACAATCTTGGAAAGATAGTTTTCGGGCTTACTTTCCAGGCAGTTTTGGCTCTGTTCATCAGCCCACCCACCTCATGTCCTCCACTTTTGATGCATATCTTTGCGGCGGCTATGTTGATCAGCTTTGCACTTTCACTTGCTGCGCTTTTCCTTCAAATTGCATACCCAAGAATTGCGCTTTCCTCCGGCAAGATCGGTGCTCTGCTAGCTGCCATTGGTGCGTGCACCATTACTAGTGTTCTTCTTAAGCATCAGCATTTCAGTTGGATTCCTTGGCTGGCATGCGGCTTCGCCTTGATGGCCTTCATTCTATCATTCAAGTGAACTTCACAAAACCTGGGTTTTTGTTCTGTAGCAGTCTCTGATACTCATCCGGCCCCAAACTGGATGCCATCAGATCATGGGTTCTTGAGCTTGTTCGTTAAGAAAGGCTCTGGCAGTTGTGTAGTGAGGAATCATTAGATCTACGAAATAAAGATGGCAGCATCAACAAAGATAGGTTCAGGAACCACATATAGCAGAACTGCCTCTTCACCAGTTTATACATTTTTACGTACACAAGCTGGTCTATACTCATTTCATAAGCTTCGTAATTTGGCTTGTTGTACTAAAAAATTTGTGGTTTTATAATTGAGGGATTTATTAGACGTCTTTTTAAGTTTAGAGTCGTTTGCCAGCAAATGGGTCTATAGAGATGATTATAGAGATTTTGTATCAGATTTTCAATACATATCCTGAAAACAAGCTCTTTTTTCTTTACATTCTTAACAAGTGAACATGCCAATAAGCATAAGATCTAGCATGCTAATCATTAGAGCTTCATAGCAACGTTACAATATGCTTAAACATTTAGATCATGTATGGTTTAATAATATGAAATATTTGCATAATAAATGATAGATATAACACAAATAAAGCACCCAAAGAAAAAACTCTACGTGATAAGAAGTCAACCTATGGGAAAGCTGGATAAAGAATCATTGAAAGAGAAGTCAGATTCGGATTAGTTTGTTGATCGAATATCTCAAGGAAAAAACACTTGTTTGAGATTAGAATCACTCTACAAGAAAGATCGATCATATCAAAAGCTTGAATGATTCTAAACTTGCAACCTAAATTACACGGGATTGCAAAGAAACTTAGCTCTTGGCTACGGAAGGTAGGAACATTTAGCCCTAATGATAAGCAATCGCTCCAAGTGAAAGTAAAATTTGGATGACCTTGTTGATCAAATATCTCAAGGCAAGAACACTTGTTTGAGATTCGAATCACTCCACAAGCAAGATCAATCATGTCAAAAGCTTGAATGATTCTAAACTACCTAGATTTGTACAAATGCTCTTTTTACTACATTTTCAAAGTTTCCATACATAGATAACCTACGTGGTTTTATATAGCCTTAAAATGAAAACCCTTAATCTTCGGGTGGACATTCCAAAAGTTGTAACATTCATACTTTATGACCATAATCAGCCACTTTGTATACTTTATGACCATAATTAACAACTTTGTAAATTCAATCTTGAAGCTAATAAAAACCTTAAAATAAATCAAAAAAGCACCGTCACTCTAACTTATTATCCGCCCAAAATTTGTTACCATCTAAAAATAAATGAATGGAGCTTGATTCTAATGCCGAACATCTTGTGATGATTTGAACAACATTTTTAAAGTTTATCTATCTTGATTCATAGTATAATTTCACTTAACTAAATCTAGAAGAGTCAAATTTACTCCTAAAACATTAATCTGGCTACAATCATACTCGAAGGAGATGTTTATACCTAAAACAGCCTTAACACTCCCTATTAGAACAATTTGAATCCGTTCCAAACTACAACAGAGAATTCCCAAGAGTTACAAACTACTTTACAACACTTAAAAAACACTTAAAAAAAGAGTTCAAAAGAGCATAAACAAAACTTTCCTCATTAAAACTTACCAAAACGGACAACAATCCTTGCTGAAAAGTGTTCAAATGGGTCCGTTATCCATCCAATACTACAAATATAAAAGTTCTAGAGGTTAGAATCTAAGCCACAACACTTGAAAGAGTTCGAAAGGAGTTTAGAGCGTTCTTACTCGCTGAATCTTACCGAAAAAGACCCGTAGATTTGAAGCCGTTAGGGAGGGGGTAATGTAAATCAAAGGTCCATTGAGCATAGATCATTACCGAAAATCAACGAAAAAGAGAAATAACCGTTGAAAATCGCCGGAATCGTGAGGATGTTCAGACTTGAGTCCGCTCCGGCGAGTGGCGCCTGCAGAACGGGTCACCAGCCATTGCAGGAGTAGCAAGTCATCAATGCAGCTATTGAAGAAGACGCCGGTGGAAGTTGTCGTCACGTACAGGTGTCGCCGGAAGGATCGATGCTCTGATCAAAATTGGTGGAAGCTTGAAGGAGAAGAAGCCAAAGGAGTGACTCAACAAACTACCGTTTAGGCGTGCTATTCCGTTGGTCTGAGTTCAACCAATTATTTCCATTATCAAAATTTTCAATTCGCCACTTAATTTTAATATACAATTTAAAATTTTTACTTTTTAAAATAATATATTTTTTTTTAAAGAGTAGTGGATAAAAAATAATTACAAAATAATTACAAAATTAAATAAAATTAACAATAAATTTTGGTAATTGGTAAAATTCAAATGGATTATGTTTATTATATTTGACACGATTTATATTTTAGATTAAAAAAATAAACCCGAAACATTTTTGGCATCCAACTCAATACATAAACCACAAAATTCAAAAAGCTTGTCTGACCAAACTCAGAAAAAACAAGAGACACTATATCTCCCAAGCACCATTTTTTTATTAGTGTTCACGTCTCCCAAGTAGAGTAACCTTTTTTAAGTATGAATGGAGCGTTTAAACTTTTGATCTCTTGTTACAGAGTACATATTTTATTTAGTTGAGTTATATTCGAGTTGATCCTAAATCTAAACGACTAAACTTATAACTTGAATCGAGCATTTAAACATATGTTCTCTTGTTTGAGATTATATATTTTATCTAGTTGAGTTATGCTCATGTTGACCCTAAATCTGAACGTCTAAACTCTTAACTTGAATTGAGCATTTAAACGTCTAATCTCTTGTACTAGAATATACATTTTATACTGTTGAGTTATGTTCGAATTGACTTTAAATTTAAATAACTGAACTTATACCTTAGTATTTAACTAAACTTATACTACTTTTAAAATTTCATTCGTATTTTCTAACATTATAGATATTTAAAAAAAAAAATATTAATGAAACTTTTTAAAATTTAAAGTTAAAATTATTTTGAAAATCGTTTTTTATAGATAAATTATAATGTTTAGATATATTTTTATTAATTTAGAAAAATATAAAATAATTAGGAATAAATAATTGCTAGACATAATACTTTGAAAGCTTAGTCGAGAAGAAATGTTGAATGTCTCGTCATATTCCTTTTTAGTATAAGAAAGGTCTTGACTTTGATTTTTATACAACTCCTTTAATAATCAATTAAATTTCTCTCTGTAAATTCTAGAACATTCCTACTCCACCGTAAAGTTATGATACCTATGATGAATTGGGATTAAAAGATTCGATCGGGGTATGTCAACTAAAGTGTAATCATTTTTTTTTACACTGTGATTACGAGCATATCATGACATTTTAATCTAATTCACGTGTAAATACTTTTAAAACTTGGAAAAATTACTGATAGTCAGATGATTAGTTAAAAATACTCAATAAGTGATCTTAGGGTAAAAAATGCACGAACTAATTTCATTTCATAGTGAGTTTGGATGATATTTGAACTATAAGACTTTTTTTCTTCAATTTTTTTAAAGTTAAATAATATATGTAATGGCCCAAGTCCAAGCCCACCGCTAGCCGATATTGTTCTCTTAGAGCTTTTCCTTTCGAGTTTCCCCTCAACACTTTAAAATGCATCTATTAGGGAATTGTTCTCTTTGAACTTTTCCTTTCGAGCAGGGAAATGTCTCAACACCCTTAAAGAGGGTGTTTTGTTCTCTTCCCCAACTTACGTGGAATATCACAATATATAAGAATGGCTGGAATCCACACTTTTGATGTTTTCATCGAAAATCTTAATCAATCGACGGACGTTCAATTTAGGTATAAAAAAAAAAAAAAACCTAATAATTCAATGCCTCATTATTAAAAATGTAAAATAACCCTACACTTTTAATCTCAAAACCACTAAATTAAAATTTTAATTTAGCATTTTTCTTTTCCTTTTCCTTTCAAGTTGCAAGTGGTGGTGCTGACCAAGAGTAAGCTTGGGCAAGTGAACTTGGACTGGCCAACTCATCAACCCCTAATACAATTTGTCCCTAATACAATTTGCCCCTAATACAATTTGTGCAAAATTTCCAAGCTAAAAAAGGCTCAAAGTCGTCATCATAACCCATTTTTGATATTGAGAGATTTCCTTTCTCTTTTCACAATGCCACAGCATGTTTCCATCGACATGAATCAATTCTCTTCTATCCAGGGAGCCTCAGATGGCTTACCCAGGGAGCCTCAGGCTCGCAACAATCTTGGGAAGATAGTTTTTGGGCTTACTTTCCAGGCAGTGCTGGCTCTGTTCATCAGCAGACCCACCTCATTTCCTCCACTTTTCATAAATCTCTTTGCAGCGGCTATGTTGATTAGCTTGGCACTTTCACTTGCTGCGCTTTTTCTTCAAACTGCCTTCCCAAGAGTCGCGCTTTCGTTCGGCAAGATCGGTGCTATGCTAGCTGCTGTTGGTGCGTGCATCGTGGCTAGTCTTCTTCTGAAGCATCAGAATTTCAGTTGGATTCCTTGGCTGGCATGCGGCTTCGCCTTCATGGCCTTCGTTCTATCATTCAAGTGAACTTCACAAAACCTGGGTCTTTCCTGTGCAGCAGCCGTAGCCATCTCTTTGTTCCTTGAGGCAGGCTCTGGCAGTTGTGTAGTAAGGAGTCATTAGATCTACGAAATAAAGATGGCAGCATCAACAAAGATAGGTTCAGGAACCACATATAGCTGAAGTGGCTCTTCACCAGTTTTTACATTTTTAGCCTAAACAAGCTCAATCATAATGGGCATGTACTGTACTCATTTTTTTTTGCAGTGGCTCTTCATACTTTCGTTTGTTTGTTATAATTTACAGTCTTCTTAAATTTAGATTGAATATCTCAATATAAGAATATTTGTTGAAGATTTGAATCACTCCACAAGAATCAAGATTGATCATGTCGAGCTTGAATGATTCTAAACATGCAACTTAAACTACGTAAAATTGCAAAAAAACTTAGCCTTTGAATAAAGGAAAGGTAAGAACACTTAATCGTATTGATGAGGAATCCCTCTAAGGGAAAGTAAAATTTTGATTACCTCGTTGATCAAATATCTCACGGCAATAACACTTGTTTGATATTCGAATCACTCCACAAGCAAAATCGATCATGTCAAAAGCTTGAATGATTCTAAACATGCCACCTAAATTGCAAAGAAACTTAGCTCTGGGCTTAGGAAGGTAAGAACATTTAGCTCTAATGATAAGGAATCACTCCAAGTGAGTAAAATTTGGATTACCTTGTTGATCAAATATCTCAAGGAAAGAACCATTGTTTGAGATTTGAATCCCTCCCCAATAAGATTGATCATGTCAAGCTTTAATGATTTTAAACATGCCATCTAAACTACATAGAATTGCACAAATGCTCTTTTTAGTACATTTTCTAAGTCTCCATACATAGATAACATACATGGTTTTATATAGCCTCAAAATGAAAACCAATCTTCCACGAGTTATTCCAAAAGTTGCAACTTTCAGACCATAATTAGCCAATTTGTATACTTTATGACCATAATTAACAAGTTTGTAAATTCAGTCTTCAAGCCAATAAAAAACCTTATAATACATCAAAAAAGCACCATAAATATAGATTGTCATCCACCCAAAATTTGTAACCATCTTAGAATAAATGAAGCTTGATTCTTCTTTAACATGGCATGAATGACAACATCTTGTGATAATTTGAACACCATTTTCTTCACATCTTCCTTAAAATGTATCTTACATGATTGATATCACTACCGGTAGAATTTCACGTAACTAAAGTGCTCCTAGAAGAGTCAAATTTACTCCTAAAACCTTAATCCGGCTACAATTATACTCGAAGGAGATGTTTATACCTAAAACAGCCTAAACTCCCTATTAGAACAATTTGAATCCGTTCAAAACTACAACAGAGAATTCCCAAGAGTTACAAACTACTTTACAACACTTGAAAAAAGAGTTCAAAAGAGAATAAACAAAACTTTCCTCATTAAAACTTACCAAAACGGACAACAATCCTTGCTGAAAAGTGTTCAAATGAGTCCGTTATCCATCCAATACTACAAATATAAAAGTTCTAAGGGTTAGAATCTAAGCCACAACACTTGGAAGAGTTCGAAAGGAGTTTAGAGCGTTCTTACTCACTGAATCTTACCGAAAAAGACCCGTAGATTCGAAGTCGTTAGGGAGGGGGAAATGTAAATCAAAGGTCCATTGAGCATAGATCATTACCGAAAATCAACGAAGGAGAGAAATAACCGTTGAAAATCGCCGGAATCGTGAGGATGTTCAGACTTGAGTCCGCTCCGGCGAGTGGCGCCTGCAGAACGGGTCACCAGCCATTGCAGAGGTAGCAAGTCATGAATGCAGCTATTGAAGAAGACGCCGGTGGAAGTTGTCGTCACGTGCAGGTGTTGCCGGAAGGATCGACGCTCTGATCAAAATTGGTGGAAGCTTGAAGGAGAAGAAGCCAAAGGAGTGACTGACCAAACTACCCACTTGCCTTCAATGATTATCTATGATAAGCGTGTTATTTCCATTATAAAATTTTTTAATTCACCACTTACTTTTAATATACAATTTAAAATTTTTACCTTTTAAAATAATATTTTTTTTAAGAGTAGTGGCCGAATAAATAATAATAAAATAATTATAAAATTAAACAAAAATAGAATAAATATGTATATGTATATATATATACATATATATATATATAAAATGGTAGGGTAAACAAATTCGGACTAAACTGTAAATGGTAAATTTGAATGACTAGATTGTAAATTAAATCGAGCACTTAAACTTCTGATGTCTTGTCTGAGAGTATATATTTTATCTAGTTGAGTTATGTTCGGGTTGACCCTAAATTTGAACAACTAAATTTATAAATTGAATCGAGCATTTAAACCTCTAATCTCCTGTCCGAGAGTATTTTTATCTAGTTGAGTTATGTTGGAGTTGACCATAAATCCAAACGACTAAACTGATAACTTGAATCGAGCATTTAAACCTCTAATCATTGGTCTGAAAAAGTTACATTAGAATGGACCTTAAATTTAAACAAGTAATTTTTTTTTTTTTTTTACGAATTTACCCATAAATATTTAAATATTATTCAAATCCCAATTTTGATTAACTTCAATGTCAGACTTGTTGATCTGCAGTTGTATTTTCACAAAGGCCACAAAAAAGTAACTCAGCCTTTGGAGCTTTGGCTTCACGTGTTCATCTTTATGGCTCGCAATCATTCACTTCTCAATAGTAAATCAAGCTATCGTGCGCCAATCGAGGCCAGAATCAACGATGCATCCTTGATCGGTTCCTTTGAGCCTGGCTGAATGCTGATGTATACTCTCGCGGTTCACGTTAGCGATTTTGACTCGCCAATGGTTGATTCTGACGGCTGAAATGGAAACCGATGGTGGTTAAGTTCTGCTGAGAGATCTTCGTTCTTTTTGTCTATCAGACTGACAACACACGACGAATCCGGCTTGTTCTTCAAGGTATGTTGCTTTTTCTCCCGAAAATTTTGATTTCTCAGTCGATTTGGGCGTAATTTTGTATCTGCTGGATTTTGTTCTCAATGCAGTGCTCCTTTTGTTTCCACTGGATTGATTCTCTTAAGCTATTTGGTTGATTGCATGAGATTTTGTTCCTCAATTAGGTTTTCGGTCTTGCTTGCTATGACTTTCGTGTTTTCGAATCGTTTCTGGAATTACAGGTCTTGAAATGGCTAAATAAGTGTAAGAAGTTTATGGTTATAGTACTATTTGTGATGCTTTCCAATTTACCAGGTTTTAGTAAGATTGAGCTATGGGGATGATGGATGAGAATGCTTGCAATCAAGAATCTCAAGGACTTGAAATGCAAGAACTGGAGAGTACTATGAAAACTTTGACCAAACTGGAATTGAACTTGGCGTATTCCTCGGAGAAGTTGACGAATCTTCATGTGCTTTTAATGTGCCTAATGGCTCAGGAGAATGATTTTGAGGGAGTGGATCTGGAGAATGATTCTATCCCAGATGATTTGTTTGAGAAGGTGTTGGCATTTGATTTCTTGTCTGGCTTTTTGGACTCTGAGGTAAGAGAGCTGGACAGTAACATGGATTCACTCGAAGCGGAAATAGTTGATTCCCGTGGAATGACATCTTCTTGTAGACAATCAAGTGAAGTTTTCAATGTAGTAGAAGAGAAATTGAATGATTCTGAAAGATCGATCGTTCAATCCCGACAGCAGATTTTAGAAGTGAAGATGCAGTTAGCCAAATTGCAGAGAATGGTTTTAAGCAGTGGAAATTGTTCGTGTTTTTTTTTTCTTTTCATTGAGTTATTAGTGACCTTAGACAATGTAGAACTAACTATTTTGCAATTCTGATTTCTCTGCCTTTGTGACAGGGAGATTGGAGGATCCTGTGATGTCGTACCAAAATGATCAAGTTCTCAACATTAATGGGAAATCAAATCCAATAACTGAACAACAAAGACATATTCTAAGGATGCTAGAAAAATCACTTGCAAGGGAGCTAGATCTCGAGAAGAAGTTGTCAGAATCGAAGCAACGGGAAGAGGAGCTTAGATTGAAGCTACACTATACCGAACAGGTTACTTTGAGAATGGAAGAGGCTGCAGAAGTCGTTTGGGGTAGGTTTCTAGAGGCCGATAATAGTGTCGAGATTCTCATGGGGATTTCAAAGGAATTAGTTGGCCGCCTCCAGCTCGTCCAATTCAATCTACATGGTTCATTTCAACGCGAAAACGAGATCAAAGATAAATTTCAAGATTGGACGGAGCAGCTTAAAGCAAAAGAAGTGTCGATACAGAAGCTCGAGAAAAGGAACGCTGATCTAATTGCCAAGAATGCTGAACTAGATAAATTGAGGGAAGAAGTGAAGTCTCTTGAGGATCAGGTTAAAGAATCTAAGCTTGATCTGAAAAGTGCATATGACTCGAATGAAGCAAGTCAAGATCAGCTTATTGAAATGGAAAATCTTATTGAGTCACTGAAAGAGAGCATCTGCATATCAGAAAATAGAGCAGAGAATGTTGAAGCCAAGCTCACACAGCTGCAAGAGACGAACTTAGAACTTACTGAAGAAGTAAGTTTTCTTAAAGATAGTGCAAGCAACAAAGAGAAAAAGGTTGGTTCACTTGAAAAACAGTTGAGGGAACTAGAGATTCAATTGCAGCATGCAAAATCATCATCAGAAGCAAGTCAGGAGCAACAAAACATGTTATATTCTGCAATATGGGACATGGAAACTCTAATTGAAGAACTTAAATCCAAAGTTTCCAAAGCTGAAAGTAAGACTGATAGTGCAGAGGAGCATTACATTATCCTGTCTGAAACCAATTTTGAACTCAATAAAGAACTTGCTTCCCTCAAGGCTCGAATCGAGTTCTTGGAGAAAGCGTTGGATCAAGCCAGGAGTGCAAAATTTACGAACGCAAACGAAATTAACTTGAGTACCAAGTTTATCATGGACATGGTGCTCCAACTAGCTGTCGAAAGGGATCGCATTCAGAGTCAGGTATTATTTTTCAAAATCGTCAGATCATTATAAATTTGGCTAGCTACACCTATTTGGATTTTTCAATCTCATGCATTTGAGTAACTTCAAATAATTGGAAGCAAGTTTTGATTTATCATGATATTAAAGCTTGGTCCTGATGAACAGATAAAATTAGCTCAAGTACATCAGTTTTGGTTAGAATTTTTTTGCCCATTTTTTTAAAAACCTTCTGTTTTCATATGTAGATACGTATATATTCATACTCCAATAGATGAATAATTCCCAAATTTGCTTCTGCAGCTATCCCTCTTGACAAATGATAACAAAGCTTTAATAGAGAGATTGAAAAATGTAAAAAATGGCGCATCTGTAGTAACACGTGACAGAGGAGACTACGACGAGGAGCAACGGTCAGCTCCAATGAAAGATGTAAATATACTGGCTCAATGATGTGTAAGGAATCTTGTATGGAGTCTTTGCAGAAAGGTCAAGAGGCAGGTACTCTTTCTTGTAAATCGAGTTGAATTGAGCTGATCGAATTTCTTTTTCTTGATGATTATACACAACAGCCAACACTCTGCTCAACACTAAGCTTCTAACTTCACAACCTTTTATATTTTTTGGTATCAGATTACTAAAGGACCTGAAGCCACACCCAAGTGCTGGGCTGAAGGTACTTCTTCTGTATCCATAAGTTAAAATGCTGAGAATTTCGTGTGTATTATTATTATTATTATTTTGTCACTTTTATCATTACTTATTTCAGTATAACTGTATTCTTCTAGCCAGAGTGTTCCCCATTCTCTGGTTCTTTGTGGTTAAGATTTTCATGGCCTTTGGATCCAAAAGAAGAAAAAAGGTTGGGAGAGAGCCTAAGGTAACTGCACATTGCCCCCTCATGTATTCCATTATTGTTGTCAAATACATTTGTTTTAGGTTGTGGTGGTTTCTTTGAACTTATGGTGAGGTTGTGTGGGATTTGTCTTCATTGTATTTGGGTATGTGTGTGTATATATATATATATATATATAGATAGATAGATAAATAGATATATAGATATTTAGTTTCGACCCGATCACATTGGAATTTGATTTATTTATTTATTTTTTTTTTTTGTGACATAGATCTATAGTTGTCAATTTGAACGTAAAACTATGCATTAAAAAAATAAAATGAAAAGAAAGTGTTTTACCAATAATTGTTTAAGAAGTAAAGTTTCAAGTAAGATTTAGATTCGATTGTTTTTGGAGTATAGAGATGCATTTCAATCATCTTGCAATACTCTCCTCGATCCACATAGACAAAATGGAGGATTGGTGCTAACAGCTCATCACGGAAGAAAGAACTCATTGAGCCGAGATCACTAACTAATACTAATCTAATACTAATAGAATAGAAAAGAATTATCTTTTCTGTATACTTTTCCTAGTTCCGTTACTACTGCGGGCTTTACACGATCAATCATATCAACTTTTTTTTTTTTTTTTTTTTTTATAATTTTTTTGGACTAACCATTATTCCATCTCTTGTTTCCCTTATCATTTTTTGATCTAAGGCTGCCATTATCCAGATAAATCGACACAAATTCGGTGAAGCTATTATAATTAATCTAAAAAAACAGAAGAAAAATTTAGTAGGTTGGATTTATTCTATTTTAGCATTTTTAATTATCTAAATTTAGTAATTGTTTTTCTTTTCATCATCATTATCCATGTTATTAATTTATTAAATGTTATTATTATTTAACCAATTTCCATAAAATTGATTTTGGATTTATTTAAAGTATAGGAACTAAATTTAGATAATTGAAGAATGGATTAAAATGAAATTGAACCCAGTACATGGACCTAAACCGTAATTTAACAAAGTTATGATTTTTATAAATACATTAAAATTATTAAATTATACTGAAAATACCACTCGATTGATTGACGTAGGTTTCAATGACCTTAAAAATGTTTATTTTTACATTTTAAACATCGAAATTTATTAAATAAAAATAATAATGAAGAGTTTTTTGTTAAAAAAATAAAATCAATTCAACTATTAACGTATAAAAATTGAAAGACATACGTGACTTTATTTAGAACATCATTCACATAAATTGGTGTTGCAACTTATATGTAAAAATAATTATATAAATTATTTCTATCAAAATTATATAAATTATTTCAATCTTCCATAACATTATACCCATAATTTTTACCCATCGATTTCACATTAATTCCATCATGTTTTAGTTTTAAAAAATTCAAAGATTATTTTAATATATGTTATTTGGAACCCATTTTAAAGTTATAAAGTAGAAAAAGAAATTTTAGAAGTCTAACTAAATAATGTTATATATATATATATATATATTTGAGTTACAGATGGTGAGTATTTCAATTAAATTAAAAATTAATAATATAGGAGAAGATTCGAACCTCTAATCTTTTAAGTGATAATACATATCAAAAGTAGTTGATTTATTAGTTAAAATTTATTTATTTGACCGTCGGTTATAAGAATTTAAACTTGTAGTTAATTATGATTAACTAGTAAATTTTATCCTTTTTAATCTTAAAATTTTATAAATTAAAACGTAATAAATAAATAAATAAATAATTGTAACCCAATGGAATTTAAATTCTGTTTATTTCGGAGGGTCCTCAGATCTCGGAGAAACAAGGAATGAGGACAAAACCCTAATCCAGCAAACACTTTGTATAAAACCCTATAAGTTGGTTCACATTCAGCATAACCTAAAATGGAGCTTCGGCCATTGGCTTCTCTCGAGAGCCATCTCCTTCAAATCGATTCTCTGGTCAGCAACGTGTTGCTTAGCAATTGGTATAAGAATTTGATTTTTCTTGTTTTGCTTTCATTTTCTTGCATGATTTGATCTGATGCACCAAGCAGCCCCTTGCTTCTCCGAGTTTAGTTGCAAGGAAAATCGAGAAAAGGGTATACTTGCGGTGCTACATTCATTTTTGGCCTTTACATCTATGGTTTTGGGGAAGAAATTCTCCCGCTCAACCCTGTTTGGCCAAAGAAACAATGAATCATATAGTCGTGTTCAGAATGTGAATTTTTCTCTTATTTCAGTCTCGATTTTTGTATAAAGAATGTAAAATGGCCATTCAAGATGATGAAGCTTTTTTGAGGTGAACATATGATGTGCGTAACTCATATAATGTAATGCCTTCAAAGTTCTCTGATTGTTGTTGCCTGATGTCTTTTGACGTAACATTTTGTTGCCATCTATTCTGAGTTTGAATTGATGTGGAAATTTTGATTTTGGTATTCTTCTAGGATAAGTGAATCGATTCAGGTATGATTTGCGCCTCTACAAGAAGGTATACTCAATAATTGGAGTTACTTTTTTTTTTTTTTTTTTTTATGATTATTATTGGTTGATAAATTTGCTGTAAGAGAAGCAAGGCAAAATGATGAAAACTTTGGTATCTGAAACTGATGTGGAACTTATATCATCATGGTCTTCAAAGTTCTCTGATTGTTGTCTGATCTTTTCTGAATTTGAATTGATGCGTAAAATGTGATTTTAGTATTCCTCGAGGATAAGTGAATCGATGCAGGTATGATTTGAGCCTCTAGGTGTACTCAATAATTGGAGTAGCTTTTTTTTTATGATTATTATTGATTGTTCATGAGAAGCAAGGCAAAATGATGATAACTTTGTTATCTGAAACTGATGTGGAACTTATATCATCATGGTCTTCAAAGTTCGCTGATTGCCTTGCTGTTTTGCTGTTTTCTATCATATTAGATATAATCTTGGTGTCTAGTTTAATGGGGTAAGTTGAATATCTATTGGGGGAGGCCTTCAAATTATTTAGAGTAGGTTAGCAATACTGGTAGCACTAAAATTCATGGTCTGGAGAGAACTTGTATCTCAGGCCATACGAGCATTGTGCGACATTAATCTCTCCTTTGGTTCTAATTGTTACCTCAGTAATTTGCATAAAGTGGCTGAGGCAGAACTGGAGAGGATATAATGAAACTCTCTTTTTATCTTCTTATCTCTGGGAATTTCTTTCTTCAAACTGCAAAGCCAATCAACATAGTAGCCCCGAAAAGAACCATAGGAAATGGCGGAGATGAAGAGGGCAAGCTGCTGAGAATTAAGGCTAAAAGTGCCCGGAAAGTTGGACCAAGAAATGACTTCTGAAGCTGAGGGATTTTGGCTGGTGAAGAAGGCCTCTGCATTTTGACAGGCAATCTGACTCCCCAGGTAAAACTGCCGATTCCAGGATCCTTGTCGAGTTGATTTTCATATCTAGGGAGGTTTCTTGTGGAGTTGATGCCATAGAGAATATGTAAGTTTTCCCTTTTTATGTTCCAATTGATTGTTCTAGGATTTAGAGATGAATAGACTACCTGTTTCAATTGTTGCGCTTTCTTAAATTGCATACCTATACTAGGGTTCAAGTTTTGTCTCTCACCCAGATTTTTTGTACAAACCAATGCAGAAAGTAAATGATTTTAAATGTTGAGTTATCGAAATTGCCCAAAAGGTTGACCCTTTTAGTGTCTTCGAATCAACGCTTAGGTTGACCCTTTTAGTGTTAATAGTTATTTAACACAAAAATTGAATTGCTAGAAAATTATAAATTTGTTGTAATTTATTTGTTGTAAATATGTTACAATTCTGAAACAAAAACCGAAAGAAATAAGCAAAGTGAGAAATGAGAAATTGATGGAAAGTTAGAATCGATACAGCCAACTAAGTTTTAGGTTAAACCCATGTATAAAATAGTAGGTCCCATAACTATTTACCCATTGAAAAGCTTGGGAAGAAGTTTGGGTTTATTTCCAAGAAGCTACCTTTTCCTTCCCCTTCCCCTTCACCTTCCCCTTCCCCTTCCCCTTCTTGGCATGCCTAAAAACCAAGCTTCAAATTAATAGAAAATACCAATAATGACTTCATCAAGCTTCTTCATTTTAAACTAGTCCATCAAATTTATCAAGTTTCACCATATAGTTCTTCGCTGTTTTCAAATAAACCAATAAAATTATTAGACGAACTAAATCATAAAACATTTCACAATATAAACTTAATTGCTATAAATTTTATGCTGTAAACACTTCATATCAAGACTAAATTGCTCTGGAAAACATATTGAGTATCAAAATGATGAAAGCTCTACTAAGCCAAGCTTTAGCAATAGTAAAACAAGACAAAATCCAAATCAAACGGTACCAAGCATTAGCAACATGTTTTCCAAAAAAAAAAAAAGGAAACATATAAAGAGAGCCCATTATTCTTGATGCAGCCATCGATGAGGCTGAAGAGGAAAAGCCATGGATGAGGCTGAAGAGGAAAAGCCATGGAAGAGGCTGAAGAGAAAAAGCCATGAAAAAGAGGCTGAAGAGGAAAAGCCATGGAAGAGGCCTCGAGAAAAAGCCATGAAAGAGGCTGAAGAGAGAAGGCCTCGAGAAAAAGCCATGGAAGAAGCTGAATAGAAAAAGGCTATGGAAGAGGCTGAAGAAAAGAGCCTTCAGAGACTGCACAAAACCATCGATCCAAAAGAAATGGATGGTGGATACTAAAAAGAAAGAAGTCAGTTGTATGAAAGACCAAAGACAATCAAGGAGAAGACACATGCTAAACCACTGATCCAAGCATAGTTCTCGTGCATAAGAAGAAAGCTTGCAATGATGGACACACCAATTGCGGCAAAAAGCGCTCCGAGCTTTTCGAACAAACGTGCAGCTTTCGGGAAGGCATTTCGAAGGAAAATACCAGCAAATGAAAGTAAAAAGCTAATGAACATAGTAGCTCCAAAAAGGACCCTCAAAAGTGGAGGAGATGAGCTTGGTGAGCTGATGAACATGGCTAGAAGTGCTTGAAAAGTAAGCCCAATAATTGCCTTCCCAACATTGGAATGCCCTTTGTCTGGCTCAAGCCTCTGTTCCCTTGCCCTCCAAATTGGTAAA